TTACTGCATCAATGCAGAAAACAAAGTTTTGGTGCACTTGTTGAATATGGACTCATTCAGCACTCAAACTAGGGTTAAACCACCCCAAACTATTCGCCACGATGTCTGCTGCTGCTTTACGACATTCAGGGCTGGACTTATAACAGTTGAATGGAGCGACTGTGGTTCCTCACTTCTTTGTCATTTTCTCAACTGCAAAGGCGATTAAAGCAAACTTACCTTAATTTCACAACCCTCTGCATGAGCAACAAGTTACAAAAAGTTCACAAAACACGTGCAACTCGTGAGGCAATCATACAAATGTGCACAAAACAATCCGTGGCCACAAAGGCCTTGATTCCCATCATTCTTTCCCGTTATTTTGTGGCCTGCCTAAAATGTAATGCCCTGTTTGTTGGCCAAATGCCGGGTCATATTGGATGCCACAAGCTTTGTTTTATAACTTATATACTATATTTAATAAAGTGCAATGTTCGATTGAAATCAAAACATACCTATAGACACCAGCTTGATATTTTCCCTGTCGAGGAACTCCAGAGCCACAGAGACGTTCTCCAGCTGCATCTGTCTGAACGTGGGGCGCTGGTTGAACTTGCGGAACATCTTCTTCTGGCTGAGCACCTCCAGAAGCGCGATCAGCCGGAGCCCATCGCTCAGGTCCGTCTGCAGGTTCGCTAAGCGCTTATTGACACATTTCAGATGCTCGTTGCACCAACGCGTGAATGTGTTTTGCTGGATCTTCTTCCATGGCGCGTCCTCGGCGAGATCTTTCTCTGTAGCGGGCATGTCTGCGTCCTTGTCGGGGGAGAGAGAAGCGTTGGATAGGGGAGCGGCGGCGGCGGCGATCGACTGGTGGGGGCGTGTGTGTTGACTCATTTTTATCGACTCGGGTCTCCTGCACTAATTCGCTGTCTCGCTTTTTGGGTGGAGTCTTGTGGAATTGTACAATTTGCGTGCTCTTCTTTCCAAAGTTATGTGACTAGAAGGGAAAACAAAGAATTGACTGAAATCAGGCTAAAATACACATGCGTTTAATTACATTTGTGTTTCTCATCGACACATGGCTGAAGTACGTGGACATTTTCAAACATATTCTATAAAACTTATTCAGTTTTTAAGAAGTTGCTGAATGAAAGTATGCCATTGTGTGTCATTCATTTGTGTACGGTAACTGGTCTGAAAACAGCTCACACGATACAGCATTCACGGGATATTACGCAATGTCAAGTGTGCATAAACCTCTGTTGCATTATGTACTGACAAAAATACTTAAAATATCGTTCAAAATCAGTATTTCGAAGTATACCTCTTCTGACGTGAGAAAGCGATTTCAATTAAATAAATAATTTGTGTTACACAGAATTTAATTAAAGCTCTGTTGTATCTTATGTATATGTTTTGTCATGTTTAAAAAATATTTTTATTTGATACTAAAATAGTGTTTCACTTTATGCATTTATCAACACATATAGCCTAGATAAAGTCCAGACTAAATCTAAGCAAATGTTCTACTTTGCCATATTCGTGTGTTGATGTAATGCCACCAATTATCAAATTATGAACTGCAGTTGGATAAGGTGTCCAAATAACCTAAGTGAAAATTCACAATAGATGAGTAAGAAAGTTGAAAATATTTCTAAAGAGGTGTTTGAATACCCAAGGTGTGCGAATAAAAATCTTGGCCGGATCTCTACCCTCCTTGTAGCCATTTTGTAGGAGAAAATTTAGAACTGCATTAATCCCACATTTGTCTAAATAAGGCAAATGAGCCAAAACAGTGTGTGAGGACGCAGTCCAAAAAGAATGTTTCCCTTTAGAGCTTTTTTCAGCGTTTGTTTCTCCAGGAGAATCTGTGGAATGCCCTTCATGTAATGAGCCACCGATGCCCCTCTGACCCCCTCTCCAATTCCCCACCCCATCATAAAACATCTACATAACCACATAATGTGTTATAGGCCTACTCTTGCTCTCATTCTTTGTCTCTTCATATTTATTCTCAGGGAAAACTTGATATTTCTAGCAGAACATAAGATGAGAAGAAAAAATGCTCAGACTTGTCATTAAAGGGGTCATATGATGCGATTTCAATTTTTCCTTTCTCTTTGGAGTGTTACAAGCTCTTGGTGCATAAAGAAGATCTGTAAAGTTGCAAAGACTAAAGTCTCAAATCCAAAGAGATATTCTTTATAAAAGTTAATAATGTGTTTTTTTTTACTTTAAACCGCATAAACACATTTCATTACACCAAATACACAAAATAATGTTCTTTTTAGCAGCATCATATGACCCCTTTAAGTTTTCATCACAATGTCACAACTTAACCGATAGGGTTACTTCATGTCAGACAGACTCAAGATCACGAACTTCATTCATAACTAGGTATTTATAGTCCTCGGATAACTTTATATCTCTTTGGTTTTATTTCCAGTTAACAACATCACCAATGTCCTATTGTTCTCAAACCCCATGTGATATTATCATGTCCACAATGCAGTCTAACTGTAAATAGGCCAGTGCTCAGAAACAAAGGATGAACAAACAAGTCAGTCGTTCAGAACAAGCCACTACTGCAGCCATATTGTAGTCTGGCGTCACCTGCAGGAAATATGAAGTATGACAGGCTGATTTTATGTTCCTTCTACCCAACATCTCCACATACAACGCTTATTGATGGTTAAAAAAAAGCAATATTTTAGTCCAGTTTATAATTTGATTCAATCATGACTGCTAAAAGAAAGAGCTGGAATAATCTCAATCAGCAGGTTCTCTTTTTTAAATTTGATATATAACATTCACACAAGCTACATATTTGAAGTAGGCCTATTTAAAAAAAAAAAAATGAAATAAAATATCATGTCTGACCAGGCAGGATGGGTTTTCAAGTGCATTTTTACAGGACCCAAAATAAAAAATCCCAAAATGGGATTGTAGATACAGTTTTCTAAAATACTCTAATATGCACCAGACAAATATGGGAATATTATTTGAGGCACATAGCTGAAAAGAACACTGTGTTACACTCCCCAGTCACCCTGATGACAGAAGGATATTAACTCCCAGCTGTTAACTATGGTGAACTTAACTGTAGGAAACCCTAATAATAATAATCATTATTAATTTCATTACTTTGATATCATCAAAACATGCTATCAATGTAGTGAGTTCAACCAAGATAAATGTAATCGTTTTGTCTTTAGTATAATCATTATAACGTTAGGTTCATTTGAGGACAGATACTTGTCAAAATAGTGAAGTGGAGATGGCACGTGATGCCATGATTGAGCCATGCTGAAAAGTGTGGTTAGCCCTCATACTGGCTGTCAGCCGCAAAGTGCATCTCGTCTGCACCAGTGAAAAACACAGATTACACACTGAGGGGGAGAATGGCACTATGGGTATTTTGTAAAGGTGTTTTATTCTTTCGTCAACAGGATGTGGCTTTATTATTGCTTCTGTGCACATGGAAACCAAACAGAAAAATATGAGCAGCTAAGTTGTGTTTTATATTATTTTAAACGCAAATAATTATAGCACTGCAAGTGACAGGGGCTAGTTGTCACATTTTTGTACTGCAGTGAATATTCCTCAGGGCAGGTTTACATTTGAAAGTGAATTTAAGCATATACCTTGGATACAAAAATCTACTGAACATTTTGACCACTGTTGCTCAGGAAAAAAGATACAGTTCATTGCAAGTGGGCTGACTAAAAGCAGGGTCACATGGGGTGAGTTGTCACAATGGATCCTGCTAAATATAAATAAAAATGTGACAACTTGCCCCGCCCTCACATTTATTTTAAAAAATGTCTATTTACACAAACACAATCCAACCTTTCAAATGAAATATGCTTTCATTCATAGTTGACTCGTCTGAATGTATACCAATGTGGTTTTATTGTGCGCACTTATTTAACGAACAGCTATAACAAAAATATAATGATACTGTAATTTTATTTTGGAGGACGTAATTCACCAAAGTAACCTCAATTTCAGACGGTTTTGTGCTATATGTGTTTGAAACCAACATACAAACCGACTTCTGGAGAAAACACACATTTGTGTAATTCGACGTTTGACTTGACATTATAGTTACTGATACATAGCTCTTGTGACAACTAGCCCTGTTCTCCCATCAAGGAAGAAAATGCGTGTTTTTACTGTAAAACCTGATGTTTTTGTACGAGCCCTACTGTCTCTCGACTGTCATCCAGGTGATGTCGCGATGTTTCGTGCAAGATTTTCCTCGAGCATGGGGGGGCGCGCGCAACTCTCACTTCAAAGGATGAAGTGCGCGCGGATCTTCCCATATTTTCCCTTATTTGGTGAGGAGGGTCTTAATTAGATTACGACAGTGATGCGCCAAAACCTCAAGAGCATAGGATTTATACACTTTTTGTAAATGACATGCAATATTAATTAAATATTAATATTTAGATTTGCATTTGCAGAGCCTACACAGCCTTTAATATACATTTATTTTTAATTATCGTTAGCTTGTTTCGTTTTATCCAGTCTCCTCATTTTTGCAATATTGTATAGGTACGCCTCACATGTCTTTAAGCATGCATGGCACTTATGAGTACGCAAGAATGTGATTTCCAGTCATTCAGCACAATTACGGACACTACGCTGCACGCCCTTCACCCATCCCGCTTGAAGAAACATTTACGCAAAATACAAGACGTTTAGTGGTGAACGTCTGCGTCAATGATTTTTAACCCTAAGCGAACTTAGATTTGAACCAGAATAAAAGTAAGCTGACCAGGCTCAAAACCACGGTTTTATAACTTACATTTTGATGCTTGTCTTGAAGTAGCCTAACTCTTGTTCCTGTATTCCTTCGGAGTCTGCGTGTGGCACAGGCAGCGGAGAGTGAACTTGACTGGAGCACAGTGCAGAAATCTCACTGTACGACCCTCCCGGAGCCGACGAGTGTCCCTGGAGGAAAAGCTTGCTCGCTGAACTCGAGAAAAAAACACTAGTGACACCCCTTAGTCGTTTCTGCCTCCTTCTGTCCTCTCTGGTCTTAATGCGAGAACCTTAATTGGTAAAGTATCAAAGAGGGGGTTACTCTTCTGTCTCGAGCTGACGTGATACCGGCGGCAGCGCCTTCAGATTGTAAAGGTATGATGTCACCCTGTTCAGACTCAGAGCGCCTGTATCTGCTCCATCTGCCTGATGCACGAACACTGTTGCTGCTGCTGCTCAACAGAGAGCTTCGAGTTATGTTGCAAGTTCTGAGGTAACAATAGGCTATTAATTTCATTTTGAACTTCCGTTGTCTAAGTGAACAAAATTATCTTGACTAAAACACTCTGACACAGGTCACATTAAAAGGCACAAAACACGCTTTTCCCTTAAGACACATTGGATTTTATCCAACCTTTATACTGCACAGGGTAAAAAGGGTGGTCCAAACTCATAAATCAGCCTATTTTGATTTAAATCTTTGTGTACATTTTAGGGGGTCAGGTTACGGTCATCGCCATTGTGTCTGAGATGTTCTCACTATTATAGTGAGGCCAAATATTTTGAAATGCAGTCTAAGGATATTATTTCACATACTTTTGGGACAAATTTCTCATTTGCTACAAAATTGATTGGCTGCTGAAGAGAGGCTAGACTATGAGTGTGTCACTTTTTAATAATTAAAGACTCAGAGTTTGCTATTAAATACATTACTTTATTTCAGCTGGATCTTTTAATGGCCCAGCATGGGCCTGTCTATGTGACTTCGTAACGGTCTTTGACTGCAAACATTCCCAGTACTTCATTCCTTAGAGGGAAAGAGAAGGGACCAGCTATAACTGCCTACTTTATCAAAGAACCTTGGGGTGGGGTGACATCATATTGCCCCCACCACACCTTTAACTAAATCCAGCAGTCTGAAACCTGGTATGCCATATGGGATTTGACGCTGGTATTTTGTTCTTCCCCCTCCTATCACTTGTATACAGAAACACATTCATGGCAAAATGAATGTTTGCAAATGTAAACTACTGATATTTCCTACTGGCACAATCACGCAAAATAATACATAATAATGGTGACCAATCTAACATGGCTAACATGTATGTTTATGTATGTTATTAAAAAGCATATATATAATGTTACATATATATAAATTATGTATATATAATATATAATTTTAACCCAGCATTTGTCTGTTTTTTCTTGCCCACATTCCCTAGAGTGTGATCAAGTCAACCTAGATCAAGACAAGACAGGCAGAGATCTTCTGGCAGCAATAGAAAAGCAGAAAGATATCAGTGGAGAGTAAATGAAAATAGCCACATGCAAAGAAAAGGCATCAACAAAGCCAGGAATCTTAGTGGGAATAGTCCAAAATCTTCCATACATCAGGTGCTTCAGACTAACAAAACATCCCAGTTAGGTTAAACATGCATAAACAAATCTTTTTCTTTTTTTTTGTATAGACCTGCTTCAGTGTGTTTCATTTGTCAAGGTACACATGTGATCTTGGTGCTTACTTAGAAAGGAGCACAGAGAAATTAAGAAACTTGTGTAGAATCTCATAGTAGAATTTAGAACTAGTTTGAAGATGTTTAGTTACTAGAGTCCTAACTCTCTAAATATGAGATTAAATCAATCGCACAAATATTAATATCACAATGCACAACAAAACATATGTTCACTATGCACACAAGAGGCAGTAGTAATCTCATTCAGAGGACTGTGAAGACCAGGAAAAATGTTGTCATTGCTGGAAATTGAGCCTATATGGGCTAATAAAATATTATGCTCAGTTTTATTGACAGTAAACTCAGAATTAGTACAGTAGCAGGCAAAGAGATCAAGGAGGAGCAAAGCAAAAAGAGGAAAAGAGAAATGACATGTATGGAGAGAAAACAGTTTGAAGCTCTTACATTTTCCCATTGTAATCCCAAGAATTCTTTGTCTACATTCCTTTTTTGTTTTATTGGTTAAGAAAAAGGAGGCGATTTATTCTCAAAGATAAGTTTAGACAGAAAGAATGAGGCAGAAAAACATTTCGTTTTTTTATTATTCAAAGTGAGTCTTGCACCCTAAGCATTAGACATCCCTTTTGCATGTTAGATAGAAGCCAGAACAACATTTTTAACAGTTTCAATTTACTGAACATCCGCCTAATTGTGTTTTATGAGGTATGGCAACAAAATAGCAGCAGAGTTTAACAAGGCAATAATGTTTATCAAGAACTGGCCAAGTTAAAAAGCAAGTATGTGTTCTTTGATCAAAAGAAAAAGAAGGACAGAAAGATTGAGAGAGAGGGGCCTGTTGTGACCCATCCGTTTCTGGGTGTAATTCTTGAACACAGGAAGCTGTAGTGACAGATACGGCATGTTTTCCACAGCAACGTGTGGCTCTGTGGAAGGATGGATATGATCATTGGAGGGCAGAGAGTCCTGTTGTTAACTATATTAGCTGAAAAACAAGGATGATAGCTGAGCTCTGATTCACCAGCATTCTGACACAGGCAGAAGCAAAATGAAGGCAGAAAACAAATCAATAACATTTAGTTTTCCCTGAGGACGTCAGGTAAATTTGTGCACAGACTTATGTTCACAGACTTACTTTGTGATCATAATCCTGAATTGACACATTTTTTTATAATGTTAGAATTACATCTCATGCATCAAGCTCATGCACCCACACCCAGTAAAAAACTAGAGATCCCATCCATCTGAACCAGTACAAGAATTGCATAAGACATCCATTAAAAACAAATGTGTTTTTCAAAAAGAGCAGACTCTCTTGTTTTCCTGTTCTTCGTCTTTGTGTTTTCATAGGTTGATGTTCACGGCCTTAGAGGTTCAAGTCGTATCATTCGGGGACGCTGTATCGACAACCATCGAGAGACAGAATAACAAGATGATTCTTCTAATAGACTATTTCACAAACAGAGACATTCTGATCTACAGAGGTCAAATTTAGGCTACATTAAACCAGCAAGAATTAGTGCTCAGTTGTTCACATCATCTTTTTTTAAATGTGGCAAATATTAGATTGCTGTGAGAATTGATCATGGTCCTGAAATGACCCGCATGTGCAAAAGAACGATAATGAGACGCCATGACTGTCATACGGAAGTAAACACGGGGGCCACTGATGTAAGCATTTACATGTTCATTTTTTAAGGTGTTGTGGCATGGAAGCCAGCGGATTTGTGAGCAGGTGATAAAGTGGACGAAGATGAAGAGAGAGCAAAGTTTTTGAATATTTAGCTCGTATAGAGCTGTAACTGTAATACTTATGAGTTTAACACCTCACTGCCTCTCCACCGACTATCTCTGCAACTGTATATCATATTCACAGCGTGATCAAAGATCTACCGGTATGTAAAATCTTTGGAGTGACTCCCGTCAGTGCCAAATCATGACGAACATTGATCTAGAATGACGTAAATTCAGACTGATGCCATATTGCAAAACATCTGACCTGTTTTAGATTTAGGACCACATATGGAAGTGGTCCAAATCAGAATCAAAAAGGTCAGATTCCATGAGGTTTGTGCTCTTCACACTGCATGAAAAATAAAATTATCTGAGTCACATATCAGCAAAAAAAATTCGATTCGGGCCACATTTTCCTGCAGCCTTAACCTAACCTTAGACACTTTAATAAGTTGCTGTCACAAGACAAAACTATATTAGTAGGAGGTTTTATGGCCATTTAATACTTTTTAGAGACAGAAGCTCATTTTGACATCAGTTCAGCTCTGAATTTAGTTTATAGGTATGCCAAACCTCTGCATTTATCTCAGTCCTTTTCATTTTGCCTATTTTATGCATATCATTGATCTAGCCTGATCTAGCCATCACTATTTGGCCTTTGTCAAAGTCATTCAGATCTTTTCACTTGCCTATTTTTCCTGCTTCCAACACCTGAAATTCAAGAACTGACTGTTCACTTTCTGCCTAATATATTCCACACATTTACATGTTCCATTGTAACCATATAATCAATGTTCACTTCACCTATCATTGGATTTAATGTTGTGGCTAATCAGTGTATACAATTTTTTATTTATTTAATGTTTTATATATATATATATATATATATAAACATTAAATAAATAAAAAGATTTAATGTTGTGGCTAATCAGTGTATACAATTTTTTATTTATTTAATGTTTTATATATATATATATATATATAAACATTAAATAAATAAAAAATGTATATATATGTTGTGTAGCAGTCATTCTTTATTGTCTTTATAGTGCTAAAGTCAAGAAAAAACACATCTGCATCAAGCTGGGGTTCATTAGCGTGGGGAAAGTCATCTTACGTACAACACTACACTTAATGTGTTTAAAGACACACACTAAAGACACCAGCACTCACCTACAAACATGTCTGAAGGCAGTGAAAGGGTTTGTACCATCTGTTACTGTTTGAGAGGATATTACAGCAGAGTGAGTCAGAGTCAAAAGCTAGAAGTGTGTAATAGGTGTCATCAGCTCCAGTGCTTTATACTGTGGCTTTATTCTTCACTGCACATCACAGAAAACAGAACGGCCTTCTGGTTGACTGACTGTACATGGATAGTCACTCTGATCTCACAGGCAGTTCAAGTACACACACACACACACACACACACACACACAGAAATGCCAGAACATTACAGTGCATGGCCAAGGAAAAACTATATTAATCAGTGTTGATATCTTTGATCTTCACCATCCACTGCAAAGAAGTGTGACCAGTGAGCAGTGAGATACAATTGATCCAGTAAATAAACTACCTGCTTAATCCATCTCCCATCTTGTCCGTCTCATTCCGCCACACCTCATTGAAAAACAAGAGGTGTCATCAGGTTTTGGTAGCAATATAGTAAAGCCTGTAGCATCTTGATGATTCTCATGAATAATCATCTCTTTTTTACCTCCTCAAGTCTGTAACTCTCTGGATAAATACTGCCTGATGGTGACTCTGGGAGGGGAGCAGATGTGGTGTTTGGAGCACATTGTCCTTCCCTGGGGTATCTAAAAAAAATACATCAGAGAATTGGTCTATTAACTCATTCCTGGATTTGGCAGGAAGGAGCCATTCTGTTACATCCCAGTCATTCCCTCCAACCACCTATTGGTTAAACTTCTCAATAAGAACATTTACATAAGCTATGGTGGATTTTGAGTAGCTGAACTTCAATCTTCATTAGTCTGTCCAAGTATAAATGACACAATGCATTATTGAATATTAAAAGAATTAAATACACATTGCGTTCTGTGATTAATATCTATGCACGTTCAACGTTCAAAACTTTGGGTTTGGTATGATTTTATAAATGTTTTTAAAAGAAGTCTCTTATTCTCACTAAGACTGCATTTATTTCATCAAAGTAAAAATGGTATTGTGGAATATTATTACAATTTAAAATAAATGTTTGCTATTTAAATATGTTAAAATTTATTTCTGTGGTGCAAAGCTGAATTTTCAACAGCCATTACTCCAGTCTTCAGTGTCCTTCAGAAATCATTCTAATAATAGAAATCTTTTGAAACATTACAAACGTCATTTTTGATCAATTTAATGCAACCTTGCTCAATAGAATTTATAATAGAATATTATTTAAAAAACATTGCTGACCCCAAACTTTGGAACAGTGTGCATGCTGGACAAAGTCAAGGTACAATCAGATTATCCATGTCTGTTAGTCCAACTTCACAAAAATCAGACTTGTACGATTACAGACAGACTAAACTTTAGTCACTAAAGGGACATTTAAAAGACAAATTATTTCAATAGTCCAATTGAAATCAAACTTTAAAAATGCATTTAAATGCACTAAATGAGTGGTAGAAGTGGCAAGAGTGCTGGTATAGTGACAACTCAGGCCCATTTTGTGTGCTACAGAATTGGGATTGATAATTGTGTACTATGCAAATGATGAAATCGCAAGAAATATGTAATTGTCTTGAAAATAATTTATTGGCTTAACAAGAGATTTTTCATTTAGTTAATGAGCAAACTAAAATGGCCAAACAAGTTAGTGAGGACTAATATTAAGTTGTTGATTTTTTAAAAACATTTTTTAACATCAACTATTGCATTTTTACTGTGTGGCCTACAAAGTGTAAGGATATTTTACAACATAGAATCTAGTCTTGTTAGATTGGGCACTATAATGCATGCCTACTCTTGTCTCTGTCTATCCTTGCAATGAGATTGGGGAATGAGATTGGCTTCCATTTAATGCTGCTTGGAGAACAGAATCAGCTGATGATGGAAGTGCCAAAACTGTGCCCACTGAAAGAGAAAATTGTAAATATGAACACCGTCTATTCAATAGATCAGATAACAGAAATTCTGATATGGAGAAAGGAGCATGCATATTCAGGTTTATTCATACTAATGATAAGATCTTGCCAGAAAGAGCCCACATTTTCCATTTTGCTGAGATTTGCATGGAGAATCTCATGAAGCATGACTACAACAATCTCATCAAAGATATTAACACATTGCAGTCAAACATGATTATAAATTTAGCATTCATTTGCTTTTCCTAATTGTGTTTGAGTTTGTTTAAAGTCAATATTACTCTGATCAACACTGACACTTACAGTTGTCAATTTATTCTATTCAAAAAGTGTACAAAAAGTTAGATGAGTGTATAGGGTAGATACTGTTTGCACTATAGCAACAAATAGCATCATGTTAGATATGAGTAATATGTTATTTGTACTAACGTAAAATAGTAATGTAAAAGACTTGAGCAATAAAGGGTGGAGTCAGACCCTGCCTTTATTTAAATAATATTTTACTTTTTTTATGATATCATAATGTTATCATAAATTGAAGGAAGTTCTATTGTAATCATTTAATTGTTAAATAACATAACATTAATAGAATCCATAATTAAAGGGTTTTGACTTCAGCCAAGAATTTCATTTTGGTGCGCCACTAATTCGGTCTGCTTACATTCATCCAAAAATGTTGTGGGAAGAAGGAAAGGTAAACAAACTCACAGTGAATATTTACCCCTGAGGTGCGGAAATGTGACATTTTGGCAGTGAACGCTGTGTGCGAAATCTTTGTAGTGTGCAAAATGAGGCCCAGTTTATACTCTACAATGAAGTGAAAACAGACATTAATGTCTTGAGGGATCGAGATAATGATAGTCAATCAACATCATCTGCACGTGATCATTCATTCCTAGCTTACAGCCGTCTGTTTGTGTTGCTTTCAAGGAAGATGCTGAGACACGCTCAGAAGGTTTGACTGTACAAGGGTCAGCGTGACACAATAATCTTCAGAGCGGCGGTCATGATGTCTGAGACTCCCACTTTTCTTCCTTATGTTCTCTCTTTCTTTTCTCTCTTACTCTGATTCGTTCCAACTGGGAAGTCTGACCATATTAAGAACACTGTGAGATGCAGGCATAGGCAAGCAAGCTTGACAAATCGCACATTACGTCACACCCTGCCTTCCAGCGCATTTCATATCGCAAACGTGCGCATATAAAACAATGTGCTGGCAGTAAACATTACTTCATATTCAGATAACTAGAGACTGTTTTATAGAGTCACTGCATGAAGATACATTTTATGTCTGAAAAATGCTGGTTTTCGACTTACATTGTAAAATGTAATGTGAGTCTCCGTCAGTGTGTTACATTCACTTCATCACTGGCTGACTTGATTCATGATGTCTTTAAAAGGTAAGCCTACCAAGTAAACTCTGAATCACATCCAAAGAATCTCTCATCAATTTTTACTCAATACTTCCCACAAATTCGTTCTTGCTCTTTCTCATTCAAAAGTCGTTTGAATGACGACCTATACCCACAAACCCACTCAAACTCTCATATGCGCACGCATATGATGGTGCAAAGTCGTGCAATTGAATGCAGAGACACGCACTTACCCTTTTCCTCTCCACAAACACAGCCATATATGGTAAGCTGTGTGTTTGTGGAGGTAAGACAAGGAGAGCGAGAGAGAGAGAGAGATCTGCTCTCACAGAGAACTAAACAACCCTCCATCATGAAAGCCTCTGTGCATAGATTATTTCAACCACGCCTCGAACAACCCTAAAATCATGTTGCTGTGTAAAAGACTATAAATATTATGAGCGGTAGCTGTAATTTTTTGCTTTTGATGGACTAGCCGACTAAAATAAAGAGTGATGATCCCCTGCAGAGTGAAGCTCGCTGGGCCTTCAGAGCTGCAGTGAGGAAGGAGATCTCATGTTTGCTGAACAGATGAGGAATTTTGTTTTATACACTCTCATACCTACTCAACAGTAAAATTATATAAAGTTTACTTCTGGACATACCATAGATGCTTACAGTGCATAGTGATGTGTTACGGCTGGTGGAAATGAATTCTTTCTTGGCAAACCAGAGAATAATGCATACTAATGATCTAAAACAGTGCTTCCCAAACTGTTATTGTAATTAAATCATAACAATCTAAAACATACAAAGAAAAAGAAATAAGTCAATAAAATAATATAAAACTAAATAAAATAAAATAAGAGAAATAAAATAAAATAAAATAAAACATATTAAAAGATTAAATATTTTATTTGTTCACCTGCATGTATTGTGACCATTAACCAACATCAGAGAGCGGTGAACACACAAATACGTTAAATATTAATTTAAAATCTCAGAGAATATTACAAGTAAATATTTTAGGTCAAAGGGGATGGGCTGACAGATTTAGAATTTTTCATTTTATTATTTATTTGTTTGGAAATAAGCATATTTGACTATCATTTGATTATTGCAATGCCTATTTCTGAGTAAATACCAAGTAATATCAAAATATATCTAACTCGTGTCTATGTTCAAATCACTCATGATGATATTCAGACCAACAGCATGATTGTGAGTGTAATATTTCTTCTGTACAAGGGTTTAACAAACATGAAGTAAGGTTATTTAGTCATATTGCCAATAAATCTGTCTATTTGTGCTCCGTCAACAAAAATGGGGGTTCCAAAATAGGGAAAATTGCCAAAATAG